TTTATTGTCCAGATTTAATTCACTTTTATTGTCCCTTTGCAGGAACGTTTGGGATGTAAAAATGTCTTATGAGGTAGTGTTTTTCTTGTCCCTGCTGGTTGCATATGCGTCCCTCCGTTTGACTCGCATGTACTTTCACCCTCTAGAGAGCTAACAGTCTACAATAGACCGATAGTTCGGTAAGGTTTACTGGCCGCCAGGTCACAATGGTTTCGCTGGTTATCCAAGTTTGATGCTCGATAAATACCTCCTCTTTAACACTAACTATGACGAAAACATCCGTCTATTTTGAGTAGTCTGTGCAGGCGTCCACTTGCACTGGGAATTGTACTTTTTTTCTAGATATTTCACAAGGAGCCAAGTCTGCTTACAATTAATAGCACTAATCAATATACACAGGATAATTCCGTTTTGAGAAAAAAATAACTGTCAATTCTGCCAATATGTCTTGAAGAAATTCTGTAGACGTATTCGTGTAAGCACGAGCGGAAGATTCAAAGAATACCTGGCACTCTTGACATCAGCAGACCTTAGCAATTTTTTTCTCGCATTCACACACGAAAAGGATTCTTGAAGTTTGTTCAGTTTTTCGCTTCGAACTTTGTGGTGCAAAACTTTCGTTCACTTTGAGTGAGTAAGGCAGGGGCAGCAGAGAATGGTGTTTGTAGCTTGACATGCGAGGAAGTCTGCAATGCGACCCAGTGTGTGCATTGCTCTGTGCATCTGTTCTTCCATTTGCTTCTTTAACCTACGTTCTTGTGGTCATTGAAATTATGGATGAATTCGCAGAGTCCGACTTGACTTGTATGCAATTCTATATGTATATAAGCACTTATTCAGTCGCATTTAGCCGGCTTTTACCAAAAGAAACTTACGGCGTGCGCTGTCCCCCATCAGATCCCACCTTTCAGCAAATTTATTTTATTCACTATCATGAAAATCACAAATTCTAGACAACTACTTACCTCTTGCCGATTTGCCACGGCTGTTTGAGGGCGTCATATTTTAGTAATAGCCAAGCAAGTGCCCTTTTTTCGTGGACCTCATCGAGACTACTTTTATATTTACAAGACTTGCCATTCCTACAGTTAGCGGGCTGTCTCATGAAATATTGGTCGAAATACTGAATGCGATTTCTGTTAGGGAGGAATTTTACACTGCGGTTTTAATATTGAATATTGTACAGCATAATTTCATGACATTTCATTAACAACAGAGTTCGGCTTTGTGGTCGCTTGCATGTATCACCATCGCCAAAACCGGCTGCCTCATTACTGTGCACAGTGCCGACTGATTTTCGAGGCGCATATAAAACGAACCATATTGCATAGAAAAAATTAAAAATATTCTTTCGTGCAAGTATTCTATATTAAATATAAACCTTTTTAATATTTCTACTCGAAGTAAAATTTTCTACTTATTGAAAAAGTGTTCCTTTTTCCGAATAATCTCGAATCCGATCTTCCGTTTTACTTGCGTGTGGGATTTCCGAACTGCGAGTTGTACATTTTATTAAAGAAAACTCGTAAATTCCTCTGCGCTATAAAAAGGATGCCATACATATCTTATAAGACTGTGCAGTAGAGAGGCAGCATGTTGTAGAGGCATTAATAAACGGAAAGATGATATCTACATAGACCTTTCGTGCTCTTGGAGTCGAATGACTACAAATTCTTTAGACTGAAACCTCCTCCTCATTTGAACATAACACTTGTAGTAGACTTCGTTTCGGAGAAAATGAGTGCAAGGAATGATACTTTTGTCTACCCTTTATATAATATGTTTGAAATTATGAGGGTATCGAAAATCAATTGTGAAAAATTCGCGGCCTCGGTGGGAGTCGAACCCACACAATAGGGAAGGCTTTTGTGCAACCAACGCTCTACCATTCAGCTATCGAAAGAAATATTTTCGAATTTCGGTTAACGTGTCACTAAAAATGTCACCTACTGTAGTTAATTTTGATTTGACCTCCACTGCCACAAGCTTATTTAGTAAAAAGTTCTCTTCGACATAATGTTATGCGTTAGGTATGGGAGCCGCTCCCCGGAGTACAAATTTTTCACTGGTCAAAGAATGATTGTAGAAGTTGGTGATATTGTTTTGTTTTTCAGTCTTAACTGCCGGCCATGAGCAAAGCACCCAGATCCAATTTCTGGATAGTGGTAACGCAGAGTAACAGAGATAGATCGGAAAACGCTTAGTCTCGCACTTCATTCTTTTTATTTAGTGGTATTGCTTTGCGCCGTCGGTGAACTTTCAAAAAACCTCCGCGCCCAGCAATATAAATTAAGTCGTCTATTAAGTATAAAAATGTCCCTGAAATTTGGATAGTAAGTAATAACAATCAGAAAGTAAAAACAAGGCCAAGGATATATCTTATACGTTTTTAGATACTTAGTAGGGGGTTTGGATGATTTGAATAATTAATTTGTATTATTTGTTTGTGCACCGATCTATTCCTCAGGTCCATCCTGGGATAATGCTTTTGCGAGTCGGATCAACCAACTGTGTTTCGCAACCTACTGATAATTGATATGTTACTAGCCAACTGTCAGTAACACATCTTTTTTACGTTTTTTGTCATAGGAGTATTCCGGCTCAGACAAGGCAGTAATTGATATGTTACTAGCCAACTGTCAGTAACACATCTTTTTTATGTTTTTATAACAGTGTTCCGGCAGACTATGTTACTAGCCAACTGTCAGTAACACATCTTTTTTATGTTTTTGTCATAGAAGACTAGCCAACTGTCATTAACACATCTTTTTTATGTTTTTGTCATAGGAGTATACAACTGTCAGTAACACATCTTTTTTATGTTTTTGTCATAGGAGTATTCCGGCGAGGCGAGGCGCGAGTTCGAAACTCGGGTGCGGCGGCAATTTCAGCTGCTACA